GAGGGAAAACTGAAGGCGTCCCACAACACTGTATGAAAGTAGGCCTTCAAAAACAGCATCAAACTCCATGATGGGATTGTTGCCTTCAGAGAGGAAGGAAGTATATAAGAAGGGACTTAAAGCCGACTAGAACTGCCAAGATTCAAGAACGCCGCCAGTTAAAATCCAGATTATTGAAACTATTGCAAGGCCACTCCATTAGAGAAACGTCTTCATGACTCATTCTCAGCGTAGCTGCTGACAGACAATATGCCTTCACAATTTTAAGATAAATGAAAAAAAAAAGTATATATATATATATATATATCTTACTGTTTCTTACAAAACCATTTTGCGGCCATGCATTCAAGCTTCGGGAAAGCGTAACATAGAAGTGAGGCACGGGCCAGTAACTAATATCAAGGTTTAAGATGTTATGATTTTAAAACCTTGAAAAAGCACCGTTACATTGTTTCGACGCTTCAAAGAAATTCTAAAGGCACGTCAGAGAAAGTGCCGGAGTGATGAGACTGCGCTGCGCCCCGTGAATTGGCTGAAAGACATCTGCTAAACGCTTACAAGAAAGACAAAGATTGCTGTGCGAAAATATTTTCAGTTGAAAACTCTGAGACAGCCATGGCGCAGAAAGTGAAGGAGCACCAGGCATTATGTGCTAAGATAAAAGTGGTTTAGAATTGATTATGGCAAGCTACGGGCGGCTTGTCTGTTAAAGAAGCAACTGCAATTTTTACTAAATTTAGAAGCCGCTTCGTCTATATTTGTTCTTTAGGTAATACAAAGCTAAAACATTAGATGACCGTAAAATGACCAGAAAGGCATCTTTTAGGATTTCGAATGCCACATTTTTATCAAGCTTTTCTCTTTTTTGGTTGATTTTGATCTCTCTTTAGAAACTAACATAAGAAGACGCAATAACATATATATTTTTTAATAGCCTTCCAGCTGTGAGTGGTCACTAGTTAGTTTTAGTCGCAGAGTTTCAAGCTACTTGTGAGAAAACAATGAGCACAGCATTTACGATGAATATAAAGTATTTTTAATCATCATTTATTTTACACAGAGACAAACACCAAGTTCAGAAAATACTTGAATGTCTTAATCCACAGCAAATCCTCAATTCTCCAGCAGAGAAAGAGTTTTGTGCAAAAACTTTTGTGTGTGTGTGTGTGTGTGTGTGTGTGTGTTTGACTGAAGATCTCACCGGCTAAATGAAAAGGGAGAGAAGATTTTGAGAAAGTTGTAATAATTTCAAGAGAAACTGCGCAAACAATGATGTACTTTTCTGTATCCCATTCCATTGTCTCTTCTGCTGAGCTCTTCCTTAGCTTGCACATCTAGCGGTTTCCGTCACTGCTTTTCAAAGACAGCACAATCAGCAACCACTCCTTCTCCGTAAAGGCTCAGCCAAGTACTGATGTTGCATTTTTTTTTTCTTTTTGGTCACTGTAAGGGAGTTGAAAGACTTGCCCTGCTCCAGCTGAAATCTACACACCGTAATGCCGCCCAGCTGACCCTAACTGTTCACGAGAACACGTCAGACTTCTGAGTCAACGTCCCTGCGCCGCCTCTAAGTGTGTGGCTTTTCTCGGGAGAGCCTGCTTCTCTGCACAAATGAAGCTCAGGTTGCCGAACTCTGCCACGGCAGTGACCTGTAAAAAAAACTCACTACATGCTAAACTTACTCCTACACTAGCCACAGGAAAACAGAAATATTTTTAGCCCTGCTGAGGATCAGCTCCTGCTCATTCATCCTGACTCTGGGTCGACCCCTTCCTAAAACACCTCCACATGCGTGTTTGCTACAAAAACCTTTTCGCTACACGCAGCTGTCAAAACGTGTTTGGAAAATGATGTTTTCCAGGCAAAGCTGATCATCTCACCATGAGGAAAAAAAGAAAAGAAATGTAATTTGGCTGTTATTAGCACTGATTATTACATTCAAATGTGTAAAAATCCAACTTCCGATTCAACCAATGGAGTTCCAACAAATTCACAGAGGTGTATTTCATCAGGTAGTACATTTCAAAATCAATAACATCATCAGTCAATTACAATTCCCATCATTATTTTTCTTTATTTCGCTTAAGTGGCATAAAGACTTAGGCTGTGAAATGCTTAATGTTTTGCATTATTTTAAAGGGTGGTTGAAGATCTAAAGCACTTTTTCCGGATTGAGAAGCAAAAAGGCTGTCAGTGGCTTGTTAAATGTGTGTTATACTACTAAATATGCAAAATGGAGATAGTTAACACGGAGGAAAAATGTAATTGTGTTGTTGCGCATGTCTGCTCTGGTTGCCATAGAGACCGACTGTGTGCGTCCCGAGTCAACTCAGTGAGTGACTGGGTGACATTTGCTCTTTAAGTGGGTTTCCTCGGGTCCAGCAGGAATAACAAAAAACAAAACAACAAAAAATAAAAAATAAATAAACTCCAGTGCAAAATGAACTGAGGCGTCATCGTAAATGATGTAGCATGGGTGAAGGAGAATAATAAAAGGCAGCCTTTAATAAAAAGATTACTTTGATCTCATTGCCTTGCCCTGTTTTGCAACAACAGCAAGAGGTGATTCTGATCCCACAGCAAAGCCGAAGCCCCCCTGGCTCAAACCTGCGCCTTCACCTGTTACATACAACAAATCAAGGCCGCGAATTCTCCCTGTAGGATGTGCTCATTGCTGCTTAGCCAGCATGGAGAGATAACGGGTGATTTAATGATTTTCTCCACTGATGTGGTTTGATGTATCGGCTGACTCTGCGCCTTTAGCTAGTATAACAGGTAAAATCCATTACCCTCCCACCTGCATGATTTATGATGGGTAGTATCAGAAGCTATGGGTCCCCCTTAAACAGCTGATCCATCCAATAGAATTTACTGCAAAATGTTATGGCTGCACATTTGGACTGAGAGCAGAACCTCCTCCCCCATCCCCCCACAGCCCTGTAGTAATGAGAAAGTGATGGCCTTTGGTTGGAGAATATTTGCTAGGTGCATTGCCATTTCGTTCAGTTAGATGTAATCTGAGCCACACAAAAAAGCTCTGATGGAGGGTGGCTGCAATCAAATGCAAAAAAAAAAAATCCTATTAACTACATTGAGATCAAAGAGGCTGCAATCAGACATTACATGATTCTGTAAAGAGAAGAATGTGCATAATGATGGTTCATGGTATTCGTATTCCCGCTTCCTTACACAGACCAGATCAGAGCAGAGTCGGACTGAGGCAGAAGCAAACTAAGCCACTGCTTAGGACCCCAAAACCGTCAAGAACCCCTCAAAACAACGGATAGTCGCCAGCGTGATAGATAGATAGATAGATAGATAGATAGATAGATAGATAGATAGATAGATAGATAGATAGATAGATAGATAGATAGATAGATAGATAGATAGATAGAGATAATAACCTTATTCTTGTAGCTAGCCCAACTCAGTGCTAGCTAAGTGCTTTCACCAAGCATTTGGTCAGAAAGTCAATATGGACAGACAACTAAGTACGTTGGTAAATACTGAATATTAACTGTAATATCCCCGAAAAATATGTGTGTGTTCTCTCTATGCATATTTGAATTCTTCTTCTGTGTTCACTGGCTTTCCCCCAAGATTTAAAACATGCCCTCGGGCAAGAGAAGGAATTCCTTCACTCATAATATTAGCCTTTTTCTCTGCTTAGCGGTTAGCTCAAGCTAGTGTCTTCAGGATTCACGTTTTGATCAAAGGTTTGGTAAAATCGGGCTCTATTTGCTGTCCAAATTCAATTGCTTGTCAACAAAAGTCTTTTGAAGCACGTCAGGCTGTTTTGCACTTGTTGGCTCTGTATCTTTGCACCGAGAAGGTCCTGGGTTTGACAAGAACCTAAGTTATTGTAGAATTTTGCAATGGCATCAACTGCAACGAATGCACATGTTTCTTACAACACAAACTATTTTCCATCATAACTATGTTTTTAACGCACCTTTTACGATTTGGGTCACTAAGATCTGTAACGAGCACTAAAAAATACCTAAGAGAGCAAATATTGACACCTGAAATAATACATAAATATGACAGACAGACAGACAGCTTCTTTGAGGTAGTCAGGGGTGAAAGTGGGTTACTGTCCTGTTTTGATCTGCTCTGTTCTCTGTTTGAACGGCTTTGAAGACTCGCCTACAGTCCATATGGGAACTTGAACCGCTATCACTATGTGGCTCACAGACTATTAAAATGTGCCTGGTGGTCGGTGGAGTGGCGAGGAAAGAACAACACCCCTGACTCTCAGCAGAGAGGATGCGCTGATCAAAGATCTGTTCTTCCCAATTACGAGCGCGATGCCTGCCCCCCTCCGTAGGAAAACTACACTCGACTCCAGTTATCTTTGCATTAATATGCGCAGAAAACTGCCTTGCACCGGGAAAGAGCGCCAAATTAAGATCCCCCTCGGACCCCCTCCCCAATCACTAATGATGGCGATTAGTGTGGTGTTTGCGCCTAGATCGGAGCTCAAAATAAATAAATAAATGGAAATCACAGGAGAGAGGGGTGATACAATTGGATCGCATTTTCTGCTTCACAGAACCGTAATGGTATTATAAAAATGCAATCAGCCCGTCGGATTGAAGACTGAAGCGCATGCACTCGTAATGTCGCTCAAGTGCGCTGATACGCAGACTTAATGACTTCATGCCATCACTCACTGGAGGCTGGAAGTTGGATCTCCTCGGATGTGTCTTAATTGAAATGCATCGTCTAATCAATCAATGCGGCGGATGCTGAATGTGGGCGACATATCTGGACTGCTGCCTCTCTCCATCAGCACAGCATCTTATCAACCTGTAACACCAGCCAGCTGCAGCTTATTTCACTGCACGGTGGACAACTTGTGGCATTTACTAAAAGCGTATCGAACGGCTCGAAAGCAAATGCGAAACCTCGCCAGCAGAACTTCATTTGGAAAATAAAAAACTTGAAAGAGAAAAAAAAAACAAACAAAAAAAAAACACGTATATTTATATTATACATACCTGAGCCAGAGACTTGTGCGTAAGCGTTTGTGGCAGCTCGTCGGCAGCCTGTATGTCCACAGAGGCAGGTCTCCAACCCTCAAACCTCCGTCAAGGAATCACTTAAAAATAAAAATAAAAAAATCCACCGAGCTGCAAATCAGAACTTTCTTCATCAAATTGAGGGGATCCTGAGCCCAGCCCGTCGTCTGTTGGATCTCGCAGAACGGACAGCTCTTCCTTCTAGTGGGGAAGTTAAAGTGCAGCAGTTCGTCTGAGATCTGGGGCTTTTTTCTCTCTCTCTCTCTCTCTCAAAACAAACCTAAATGAAGATTCTCACTCCGTATGGCCATCTTCATCCCTCAAAATAAATGTAGGAAAAGAAGAAGAAAATAAAAACATGATCCCTGCCAAAATACGCATATTCCTTTTGGTCCAAGTTTCTCCGGAGCTCAACACGAACTCTTAAGGACGCACAGGATGTCTGAACGGCAGCGGCAGGAATTGCATTTCTGCAACGTTTTTTTTTTTTTTTGTTTTTTTTTTTGCAGCTACTATAAGGAGCCCATCTGAAGCATTTCCAGAGAGCAAGTGATGAGATACTGTGGGTATGTTAGTTGCTCCCCAGCTCTCTCCTCCTCCCGTCTCTCTCTGCCGCCTCTCTCTACTCATCGGAGCGTGGGAGGAGGTGGGGCTCCCACATCCACCACAGCAGCACACACAGCAACTTCACACTCAACATCACATTATGAGCCACGGCTGTGTGCCCGGAGTCAAAGGAAGAAGAAGAAGAAGAAGAAGAAGAAGAAGAAGAAGAAGGGGGGGGGGGGGGGAATGAGGGCGATACCATACATTTTAAAAAAAATCCAAAAAA